TCCCACCATCAGTTTATGTGTTTATAAGGTCCCAACCACTATTGTATGAGTACTGTGAGTGGACAATACAGTTGTAACACACTTTTCCAGTAACTTCCATTCAAAAAAGATCATTGATAGTTGGAGGTCATAGCCACCAAGAAGTTATGAAGGGCAGTAAATAGAGAAGTGATTAAATGTGTGTATGATTCAACAATAACAATAACTATAATAATGTCACCCTGGGACATAAGAAGCCAGTCCTGGGGCCTTCAGTGTGAAAAGGGGTGAGCATAATCCATGGATGAGCCAAGTCAGGAAGCCAGGAAGTCAGTTTCCCACTGAGGCACCCTTGTGTCCCAGCCAGCCCCTCCACAGCACGTTGAGTTGGGTCAGAACAGCCCCAGGCTGGCAGGCTGACCCCCCAGGGCCCCTGCAGCTGGGACTGCTCTAACCCAGCTCAATATGCTGTGATTCCAGGCGCACGTGTAAATGTGGCATCCGGGAACAATAAACTCTGGTGTGATATTTGCCAGAGTTTGTTGCTTTGCATCAACTGCATGTTTAGATGCACCATGACAGTAGTATCCAAATCACTAGGGGTGTGCAAAGCTTTGGGTGGTGATTCGATTCGGAGGAGATTCGGTCTGATTCGGTGGCTGAATTTCCAAATCCAAATAGAATCAGGCGACCAATTTAAAGGTCTGAACCAATTCAAAGCTCTCCGAATCTTCAGAAAAGATTAGGAGAGCTTTGATGATCTGGGCAGTCCCCGGTGGCTGCAGCAGGGAGTTGCAGCCAGCTCTGAGCTGGTAAGTACTAGGGGTGGGGGAGGTAGGGCTGGAGGAGGGGACCATGTGGGGACCCCTGCCAGCCCCCCGACCCTTCTCCCCTGCCCACTCCCGTCCGGCCCAGCTCAGTACTTTAAAAAAAGCCCCACTGCTCACTGGGTGCTGCCAGGCAGGGGGCCGATCCCTGCTGCCCCCCACTGAATAGGGCACTCTGCATGAGCCCCCTGACCCCTCCCCACTACTCCCACATGGGTGCCCTGCCTAGGCCAGCTCCGACCCTTTAAGAAAATAAAACAGAGAAAAGCCCTGGGACTCACTGCTTCTGTAGCGGCCTTGGGGCTTCGGGGGGGCTCATGCAGAGTCCCCCACATGGCACAGGGCACCGAGGATCGCCCCCCACCAGCAGGAATGGTGAGTCTGAGCGGGGGGGAGGTTCAGGTTTTTTTTTATCTTGAAGGGCTGGAGCTGGCCCAGGTGGGGCACCCATGGGGGACTGAGGGAGCAATGGGGGGGGTTGGGGGGCTTTTGCAGAGCCCCCATGCAGTGTGGGGCAGTGGAGGGCAGCAGGGATCACCCCTCACCTGGCAGCACCCACTGAGTTGGTGCTCTTTTTCCCCCCAAGTGCCAGTAGCTGGGGCGGGTGGGGGATGGGCCCGGCTGATTTGGTGATTTGGCAGGAGCCAAATCGCCAAATCAGATTTGGCCGAATCGAATCAGGACAGTGATTCAAATCACCAATTCGAATCACTGTGCCCCAAATTGGCCGAATCAGAAGCAAATACTAGCTGCTTCACACAGGCCTACAAATGACCAAATAGTGTCTGCTAAGTCACCATGGTTCTCTTATTTGAAATGATTATGTATTTAAAGGGTAAGAAAATATCTGATGTACTCAATTAATTTCAGACTAACTGATTTACTCACCTTTGTCAACAGGAGTGTCTTCTCTCATGAGGGGAGATGTAACTGAAATTGTGACCTGCATTTTTGGTTCCTTGCATGATGAGATGACTATAGTCGCTTCTGCAGCATCAGATGAAACTTCATACTTGTCCTCAGTTAATGTCTAGGATGGGAAAAGGGGGAAAAAAGGGATACTTGTTTCATCTTCAAGCATAAATCAGAAAACAACAACTAGTTAATTTACTAATCAAGTAAGCAACTGGCTAGTACTGCATTTGCAAGGTTAGCATCAGTTTCCACTACATCAGTAGATAGATAGCACATTGGATGATTACTGTACCCAGCGATTCTCAGGCTCTGTCCATTTTGGCCCTGAGCCTGGAGTTCAGAAGAGAGGACCCTAGGATAACTAAGGGCTGAAATTGGGCAGGCAGTTCCTGGTCCCCAGTGGTGGCCTGGATTCACGTGTATGGAGTTCAAGTGCTGTGCTGGGAGTAAATGTGCATGGGGCCAGGCAGAGCTAGGGGAACAATCTCAAGAGATGACTGTTTTATTTATATTATGTTATAGTAGAGAAATACAATGATTTAATAATACATTAATTAATAATATGCTGTTTATATTACAATATTCATACTGTATTTATATTCACTTTTGAAATGGGATGCAGCTAAATTCCAAAAATTTGCAGAGTAGTGTCTTGAATCTAAAAAGGTTGAGGAGCATTGCAGTAGGCCCTTGGAGATCATGCTCTCTATATATCCCAGGCTTGACATACAAAACCTTGTCATTCAAGCCAGGAAAGCTTCCTGAACACTGTCTTTTCAGGCAGTGTTACAAATTGCATTAGAGACAGGATGCCAACTGAAGACTGATCCATATTATGCCATCTAAAACTTGAATCTTGTATATTAAGGGAAGAAAGCAGTTCAATCAAGCCTGTAAGCTACTCACTAATATAGAGGAAACTAACAATTTGAAGTTGATTGTGCAAAACCCTGGAACATGTTTCCTTTTGGTTGCAACTCCTATGGACAGGGAGCACTTTATCCATTTGGTTTTGCATGTGGTGTGGCATACTTAATCTTTAATAAGCAGAAATAAGATTCTTCTATACTCTGGGTATCTATTTCTTGTCATTTAGGAAAGGAGAAAGAATCTCTAATAAACAGAGAAAAGTATCAGGATTCACCCTTACTGAAAGTTGCTTAGGCAGCTGCTCTGTGATATTCTGGAGGAGAGAGATCGTAGGTTTCTGGGCAGACAATAAGATCAGATGAACATTCCTGTCTCCTCGAAGCAAAAGCCCTTTTGCCAGAATGCCAACTCGCATTACACCTTTCAGAATTCGGGGCACATCGTCTGCTTTTCTGTGGAAGAGAGGAACAACAGAAAAACAATAAGAAAGCTATCTACAGGGAATCCGAGTCATTCACAAACAACCTCCACATATCTGTAAAGCAGAACTAAAATGCAATGGATGACATCATAGGCTCTGTAAGTGAACTGCTGGGCTCTTTTCTTTCAGCAGAAAGGCACTACAATTTTTACACATGACTCTGGCTCTGCTGCACTACTAACACCACTGAAACAGCTTTACTGATAGGTGTCAATTAAACAAGCTGGTTTTTTTTTACTGCAGCAATTTTTCTGCTGCAAAGAACTCAGAAAGACCACAATGGGTCAGAACATTTTTCATGCTATGAATTCCAATTTAAAATGTATCAGGGGTATAGGTTGTAGCCATGTTGGTCAAAGCTCTAAGGGCATAGTTGGTTTAATAAAAGACATCAGATTTACCCAAAGAACCTTGTCTGCCTATTTGAAATGTATGGGCTATTTATTATGCATGTGCTCTGGGAGCGGGCAGGGTGTGCTTTAATTAGTCTGAGAACTATTCGAATTAAAGTGCCCAGAGTGTCTCATGTATCATTGTCCCTGTGCTTGAAAATGGTGGCGGTTAAAAATGGTGGCGGGGGCACTTTATCTAAAGTTCATCAAAAGCTGGCGTCTGCTGGAGTGCAGTAATTACCACGCTCCAGCAGACTCAATTAATTGACTCTACTCTGACGCACTGTAATTACTAGGCCTGTGCGAAACAGCTAGTATTCGGCCAATTCGGAGGACAGTGATTCGATTCAGTGATTTGAATCACTGTCCTGAATCGATTCGGCCGAATCTGATTCGGAGATTGGGCTGCTGCCAAATCTCCGAATCAGGCAGGCCCAT